CATTATTTACATAATTAAAAAATTAAATATAATAATTCATTTTTAAAAATATTTTAAAAAAAATTAAGACTCAAATTTTTAATATCAAAATTAATACACAGGATTTTTTATTTAATTATTTAAATGTCATAACTCATAAGTACTAATTTCATCAATCAATACATTAAAAATTTTTATCAAAGATCTCCCCGGCCCTAAATTAAAATTTTAGAAATTATTTTTTTGACGTTTATTAAATTTTTTTTTATTTGGTGGGTAAGAAACATTTATGTAGGGGTGAGTATTAATACATATATATTTGTTACTTATATGTATTTTATTTATTTAGATAAATATCATATTTAAATTGTATAAAAAAATGTAAATAATAAATATAAAAATAATATACCTATAAATATTAAATTAACTAATAAATATAGAGATTCAAAATTATTTATCTAATATATCTAACCAACACTTATAAATCAAATAAATTACACACATAATAATAACAACTCATAAAATAATAAATTTTAAACCAAACTCATAACACTCATAATAATAATATCTCATATTAGATTTTTTCTTTTCTTAAATTAAGTACATGAATATATACCTATAAATTATTTAGTACCTGTTGAATTAAGTATCAAATATATTTTTTAAAATATTTAAATAAATATTAAATCCAAAATGTTATATCCATAAAACTTTTTTTTTATTTTCGTTGCATAATTAGAGGCAGTTATCTTATATCTTTTATCTCGTTTCATCCACATGTCATGTGACTCAAACTGAAAATTTTTTACTTTCAACGAAAAGAGATTACTACTAAATTATTTAAATCTTAATTATAACCATAAATTTTTAAATTAAGTACTAACTATGATCCGTACATGTAAATGCACACTCCTACATTTATTTATGACCTAAATCATCATCTTCGCAAGTCCACAGGCGGCGGGCCTAAAATAGATGACGTCCAATATTGTAGTAATAGTGTTGGGCTTAAATACAGGTTCATGGATTTAATATAGTTGTTTAAGTTTGCGGAGGACTGACCCAATCTAATTCCGAAATGAGTTTGGGCTCTGTATCTAATACCACTCGTCTATAATGTTAGTGCAAAACAGAACTACAAATAACAAAAACCCAATTAAAACAACACCGATCCTTATGCCCCGATTTAGTAGTCGAGACCCTTAGTTAAGTGGGGATAATTTCTCATGAGTTAGCGTTTTCAAACTCCATGGATGATATTTCTCTCTCTATCAATTGCCCTATTCAAACAAAAAAAAAAAAAAAATCAAAACAAAACCACTCCTCACCTCCACTTCCCTATATCACATTTTCAATGGCCCCCTTTTGCATTCAACATTGATATAAAACCAATGAATAAATCCATTCATGCCCCACCAGGTAATTACATGTGGATATAATACATTTTTCGATGTTGATGTGGCATGTTGAGATTGGCTTCTGATATTTGGATTACACCCCCAAATTAATGTGACATGTTGATGTGGACTCACTTCATCATGTTGCAATAACATCATATTATGTAGCATTAGATTTTGGATTAGGTTAATATAAGTATATTAAACAAGGCAAAATCATCGTTCATCATAGGAAATTACAAAACATATGGTATGTTTGAAATAACATGTAAATTAGCAATAGTGACTTAGCTAGGTTTAATTTCCTCCATTTTTTTATTTTTTTATTTTTTCATGGAATCAAAGGACATTTTTTTTTAAATTATTGTAATGAGATTAGTTAGTGAATGGGAGAGAAAGGGGCAGTTTTAACCTTTGATTTTACTCAAATTTAAGATAGTAGGAAAGGCAATAATTTAATCTCACATGTTGTTGCCTTGTTGGGTTTCTTCTTAAATGTTACTTCTCTGACAAAAACTTAAAGGGAAGCTACCCATTAATTTAATTGTTGGCACCGAGTGTAGCTAGTTAGTGACTTACTTGTTCACTATAACTACTTGAAAGCAACCACACTATGGAATTAGATATGTGGTTACACATTTTGCTTTAATTTCATTATTTGGGTGTATTAGCTATGGGGGAGAACTAGGATGCTAATGAGGCCCTTTAGTATAGTAGTGAAAAGCTTGAAATCCATTAATATCAAGGTTGTTGATTTGAATTTATACAACTTTTGTCTAAATTTATTGTTGAAATTTAATTTAGAGAACTAGTCTATATATCGTTTGAATTAAGCATAGTAAATGTATAAACTAAAGTAAAATCATTTTTATTATGAGTTTATCTAATATATGCTCTAAAAATACAGGTTAAATATATAATAAATATATTTTTTTACAATTAATTTATAAAAAAAAGATAAATTTATTTTTATTTTAGTGTTATTGTCATGTAGATAGTTTTAATTAATCAATTGATTAAATTTAAGTCAATTTTTATTATTTTTTATATTAATTAATTGTAAAAATATATATTTATTATATTTTTATCCTATGCTTTTAGGATAGAAAAGTCATTTTATTATTCGTATTGGCCTAACGATTTTGAAATAACCTAATTAGTATAAAAGCCAAAAAAATGAAAATAAAAAATGACCTTTGTGACGTGAAATTAGTATGTATGAGATTGAATGGCACAAAGATGACAAAGGAGATAATTAAAGAAAGAGACACTGATGGAATTAAAGAAAAATATGGTTGGTTCCCTTTTTTCCTTTGAGTGACTTTTACTCAGCTCTTCGCCTGGAAAAGCTAACAATGATTAGGTGAAAACATGTGAAGTAGCTATAACTTGATTAGCAGCAGCATGCAAAAGGAAGGGTCGTGCACATTTTTCAAGTTTTGACTAAGAAATGGCCTTCCCCAAATGAAAATATCCCAAAATCTTAATAGACCCATCTCCCTTTTTTATAACATAAGCATGCATTTCAAACTTCATAGAAAAATGCATAGAAATTTATGTAAACTTCCCCTATGACATGTTGATTGGGGTTTTATACAAGTACAGAGTTTCATTATATAATTCATTATTTTTCTTTTTGATGTAGATATAATTCACTAATTTAATAGTGTTATAGAAAGGTGGTCCATATATTTTATTGTAGACAAGGAACAAGTACAGCTACTTGCCGTTCAAGATTATTGTATTAAAAAAAAAAAAATTAAGGATGGAATTTATATTCTCATAATTGAAAATGACTAATTTGAAGAGCAGGAAAATGACAAAAAGCCATGTTTAAGTTCTACTAATTAAGCTCCATGGGTTCAAATAATGAAGATGGTGACCCTCACCCAACAACTAAAACTACTAGTAATTTCACATGAATCTTTACTTTGTATTCTTCATGCCACCAACCTCTCTCCTCCTTGCCCTTGGGATGAAATCACCACAAAAATGGGGAGAGAAAAAGAGAGCTAGTACAACAATAATCATGACTTCATTTTTCTTTTGTAAAGTAAGCTTATGAATTTATCCAAATATTGAAATGATTGGTACCACCCATAAACTTTTCTAAAAACCCCCAACTGGTCTTAGGACTGGGCATCCTTAATTATGGGAGAGGTCTAGGGAGCTGTCTTTCTTAAAATATAAAGCTTAGCCTTGTCTCTTTTCTTGATGTTTCAAAATATTACTACTAAAAAAAATTCTATGTATTATGATCCAATTAGTTGTATAGATATCAACTTTATTTATTTTTTTATTTTAATTGTATAATGAGAGGTAATCTTCTCTTATTTTTTATCATTTATTACACTCCACTTGTATAGAATTTTTTATTTTTAATAAAAAATTCTTATTAAATTATTTAAATCGTTAGTATTTACCCTTGATAATATCTTGTTAGATATTAATTAATATATTTTTTAATTCAACACATTTCATAATATATTTATTAAAAATTTATTATTTTTGAGTTTTAATTAAAGGCCAAAAAAACATAAAGTTATAAATTTCAATAACTGAATTAATGAGTATTAATTAATATATTAAACTAAACGCTTAAGAGGTGGCTTGGTGATTAAAATTTTGAAATTTTGAATTGGAAATCTTAAATTCAAATTTTAAGTCTAGTGTAGAGGGATTTAGAAAAAAAAAAGTTATATCTTCTTGTATAACTCATTCAGATGTAAAAAAAAACTAATATATTAAATTAAAGAATATATCAATAATTTTTTTGTTTGATTACATTTTTAAGTTGTTATGCCAAAAAAAAATCTACGCAAGATTTTATTTTGCAATTGTATTGGTAAGACGAATAAGGAATTAATCTATATTTTTTAAAAAAATCAGATGAAATTATAGCTCTTATAATTTTAATGTAAATGGTGTGCCAAATACTATTTGAATACAAACAAAAGATGATATTATAACTTTACCATACAGAAAGAAAGTTAAGCTTCACTTACTCAAAACTTCAATCTCATACATGTAAAACTAAGTAAATATTAGTAATATTTTTACCAACGATTTATGTAACTTAGTGGTAATTTATTTCGTTGAAAGTAAAAAATATTAAATTCGAATCGCATAGTATGTGGGTGAGGTGAAGTAAGATAAATGATGAAAAAGAATGAAATAAGAGATTAGAAAAGATTATTTTTCGTTGTGCAACTAACATAAATAATGTAAGCAAAATTTCATTAATTCAAAGTTTCCTCTCCAAATTAAATAGTATTAAATTTTAAGTTGAATTAGATTTGTTTTGGTGGTGGTGATGTTATTAGTGGAGTGGAGATATGTTCAAAGTCAAAAACCTTAAAATTAGATCCCGAAAATTAATATATATTTCTACTCTTAACAGAAAAGGCCCGCTTCTCTCTACTCTAATAATCATCAAAATCTAATTACCATTTACTTCTGTTTTTTTTTTTTTTTGGCCATTAATTTCTCCCTCCAAATATCAAATTTGACCGCTATGGCCCACCTATCTTGCCTGCTGAATCGCTCACTTCCTCCACCTACATTTACCAAAATCTACCTCACTATACTTTCTATTTACCACTTTACCATCATAATTTTAGTGTTTGTATTATATATTGAGAAAAGAAAAAAAATTAAACTATGTTGATATTTTGTCAATAATCTATATAGTTCAGTGATTATTTCTCTCTACTAAAATTAAGAAGTTTTAAGTTCGAGTCACATGTCATACGGGTAAGGTGGAACAGGAAATAGAAGATGGTTCCTTTCCATTATACAATCAGGATAAAATATATATATATATATGTTGATATTTTTAATATTAAAATATTTTTTGATACATCTAATTATGAGTTATATAAGACGAGATAATCTTATTTTATTCTTAAATCCCTTTTTATCTGACTTAAAAACTCATACTTGAGACTTCCAATTAGGAATTTTAAGTTTTTAACAGTTGAATTACTCCATTAAAATATTTAATTATATTCATTAAATATATAAGATATAGTATGAGTTGTAATTTTATTAAATTTGTTATGTAATTATTATTAAATATTTTAATATTTTTAATATTAAGACATTTTAAGTTTTCTTTTACCTTTTTATATTTATTACATTTGTCAAGTATTTTTTAAATTACTAATCATGCCTTAGGCCCATCGAATTTTGTATTGTATACTCTTAAATTTAAGATTTATGTATTATGTACCATTTATATACTATGCTTGTACACTACCTTCCAAAGTGTCCTTCTACTTATGTATTATATATTAAAATTTTATAAAATTGTTATATCACATTAGATATTTTAGAAAACCAAAATACTTATTTAAAAATTATTTTACAATTTAAATTATATTAAGTTATAAAATAATTATTTTTAAACTAAGAAAACCCCTAACACTAAATTTTTTTCACATTTAATAATTTATATTTTACAATATAATACGTCATATAGAGTGCAAAACATAGGACCCATACTTATTAAGGTGCATGTTTATGGTTGTAAAGGTGGATGTCCCTTATCATGGTTCAATCAATTAGGACCGTTGAACTATTAATGTCGGATGTGATCCAACGATGTAATTTAAGGTGGGCTAATTCCTTAAAAGATTAAAAATAAAAAATAAAAAAGGGAAAATCCACGTAAGGTGCCACCCCCACGAAATGGATATGCCGACATGGGGCCTTCTAAATTTAGCACATTGGTATATCCGAATAAAAATAATAATAAAAATAGTAATTTACAATAGGAATCAAATTAAATAAAAAATAAAAAAATAATTATGGGGTTTTGTACTTAATCAAAGGATTGTTCAGTAAATTCAATTAATTTGGAAAAAAAAATCGAAAATCCAGCAAAATATATAGCCTTAATTCTCTGAAATTGTTATACTAAAATTTAATCA